TTCCCTTTCCCATCACTCCTAATTCATCCCTATTGACTACCTCACGTAGACTGAGGTGCATGAGGGCAATGGCAGTACCCTCATGGCCCATAGGAGCCCTGCATGTTTCCAAATTCATGGCCCTGAATTGCTGAGGTTTGCTAAAATCACAAGGTAATAGTCATGATAGCTTAAATTGCAATTGCTGCTGAATTAATGATAGTCACATTTAGGTGTAAGCCACCTAAATTCCTATGGAAACAGGGATCTTTCAAACCCATGTGTTAATGGACACTAGTAGTCATTCGAATGAATTTTTAGTTGCTCTTGCTACACGAACTTTATTTCTCGTTTGCAGTTTATGCTCTTAACTCATCTAAGGAAAGAGATGGGTGGACATGCACAGCCAGAGCTTTCAGGAAGCCAGAACTCTGTTAGGTCACAAATTATCATTATAATACCAGCATGGGCCTCGGCCTGGCGAAAGCATTCATCAGAGATGAGTCGTCACTGGTAGAGAGTGAGGACAAAGCATAGAGGATCATTACAAATGATGCCTGAGCTATTTGCTGTGGGATTGATGAGGCAATAACTTTACTCAAACATTTCTAATATTGCAGCCAGGCATCGAGTAGGCCATGCCTTTTGATTTGAAGTGGACGTCAACCCCTAGGCCAAGGATTCGTTGAGGCATTTTGCTTCACACTTGAACGACTACAGCAGCATCCCAGGTCTGATCTCCTGGTCTGCAGTCTCTCACCACTGGAACTCACTCTGTGCACACTGTCACATTCACACCTGAATAGCTCCATTTCACACTTCTCCCTGCCCCCCATCTAAACCCACTCATCATATGCCTTGACTGGATGGAATTTGACCCTTCTGGGCTAACCCATCTCAACCTTTTATGGTATCCAAACTAGTCAGCTCACCATTCCCAGGTTTCTCCCCTTCAGGTCGGTCATCTGTTTGGAATGGTTTCCCTGCCATGCCAGATCCCGCTCAATCTCCAAGACCCTGCTTGGCCCTTCTTTCTTCTGCTAAGTCTTCCCAAACCATCCCCCGCTTTCTTCCTCAGAAGTAACTCATTCATTCCCAATGTTCTTTTGAGCACCCACCATGTGGGCATAGAGATTTTTATTGGAGACTCCTTTTCACTTGTTTGGCCATTATCCTTTCCTCTCTTGGACTGTTGGAGTCTTTGCATCTGAAGTGTCTGTCCTGTCTCTCCCTCGCCTGCCCCAGTTGCATCTTCTTGTCATCCCCCATGGCAGTGACAAAGTACTTATAGAAAGAAGGCTCCACGGGTATTAGGCTGCTCTGCCACAATCCTCAGCATTTTAGGAGAGTGTGAATTTGTCTTGCATATTGAATGGCTTGAATGGGAGTCATAGCCTAGCTTCCCTGTTTGCTTAGCAACATTTCCTTCCAGCAGGACTTCTCCTAGTGGTAACTCCTTAGCTTCTGAACGCTGGGAGGTCCAATTCCAAAAGCCAGTTTAAGGACTACAACTATTTCAAAAGCATCTTCTTTCTACCTTTGCTCTCAAATCGAAGATCCCCTACAGCCTTGTCAAACCTCTGTTTTAATTTCCTAATTTAGTTGAAATATATGTAGATGTGAATACTTCTCTTTGACTATCAAAAGACCTTTAATTTAAAATACAGTTTCCACAAGTAAACTGGACGACTTCTCACAAGCACAGAGTCTCAGGCCTTGGCCTCCTCTGGCTTTCTTGTTGCAATCTCTGTGAAGTCAAAGTTCGTGGAGGAGTTCTGATTTGATCTGCAGAAATGCTAAAAGGAATCAGAGCCAGGCTGAGCAAAACAGGCACTTGGGAGAATTTTTAGACAACACAATGTGATCATCTCTATTTTTCAATGAATGGGAGTAAATTAAAACGAACATGTTGTGATGCATTGGAGAATGTGACAAAATTCCCCAGAATGCACTGCCGAGTTTTTTGTTTTTTTGTTTTTTTTTTTGAGACAGAGTCTCACTGTTGTTGCCCAGGATACAGTGCCATGGTGTCAGCCTAGCTCACAGCAACCTCAAACTCCTGGGCTCAAGCAATCCTTCTGTCTCAGTCTCCCGAGTAGCTGGGACTACAGGCATGCGCCACCATGCCTGGCTAATTTTTTTTTCTATATGTATTTTTAATTGGCCAATTAGTTTCTTTCTACTTTTAGTAGAGACAGGGTCTCACTCTTGCTCAGGCTGGTTTTGAACCCCTGACTTTGAGTGATCCACCCACCTCCGCCTCCCAGAGTGCTAGGATTGCAAGTGTGAGCCATTGTGCCTGGCCCACTGCCGAGTTTTTGACACTTTGTTTGTTACCCCAACGCTCCTGAAAGGGAAACGAAAATGTGCACTGCACAACTTCGCAGAGGCCTCCTGACTTTACAGCCGCCCCTGCCCCCACCCCTCCGCTTGCAGGCAGACTCTCTGTGAAAGGCTTCTGCAGTCAGGCCATTATGCATTCCTCCGGCTCTGACACTGCTGTTGTCCCAACATCCTTGATAAGTGATGCTCAGGCCCAGGAAAGGAGAGAGGGGAGGATGAGGAGGAACACGAGTGGTGCCATGTTTTAGTCATGTCGCTGCGGTGTCGGGAAGCGAGGCTGCGCTTAGGGAAGAGGCTGCGTGGGCCTCTCTTCTTCTTTCCTCCCAGAGAGCAGGCAGAGCATGTCATTACTGCAGAGAGGAGCACAGACTTGTGACACTCTTCCCGGGGCAGAATGCCTCTCCCTTCATCACAGCGAGGCTGTCCTGTGCCGAGCCTCGCTCGGAACCGTTCTCTCAGGCTACTTACTCCCACCGACTCCTAACACGCTGGCACCTGCCGGAAACAGAATCCTCAGCCCTGCCCCGCAAATGCATCCAGCCCCCACAGACTGACAGCTCGGGCCGCCTTGAAGGAGCGGGACTGCGGGGCCTGCGACACCGGGGACAGCCGGAGCGGGTGGGTGGGGGCTGGTCTTCCGCGTGCGCGTGTAGAAAGGGGAATTGCCCAACGTGGGCTGAGGGCGGAGGCTGCTCCACAGGCCCCTCTTACTTGGCCTGCGGGGTCACAGGAAGCAGCCTTTGAGTCCCGGGCTGTTTAATGCAAGACCACTCATCAATAAAGTGCTTATGCGCCGGGCTCTATCGACGTGGACTCCTCCTGACCTTGCTCGGGCTGCTGCCGCGGGCGGGCGGGCTCGCTGCGACGCAGCCCCGCACGCTCCCGAGGGGCCGCTGACCACTCTCGCAGTCATTACCCGACCTTTATCAGTCTCCACTGACAACTGCCATTGAGACTCGATATCCGCACGGCTCCTCCATTAGCGCCATCCCACAGGGGCTCTTGCGGTGGGAGCAGCGGCCCAGGGAGGAAGAGGCTTCCTCCAGTCTGTCAGCGGGCCGTGGGGCCCTGCAGTTCTGCGGCAGCCCCAGCTACACCTGGAGTCCCAGGGACCGCTGAGTCTGGAAACTGTTCGGCCAAAGCACATTCACCGAGAACCTATGTTCACAGCATGCTGGGGTGCATGGCGGGTAGAAAGCGGTATCGCTTATAAACCCAGCCCACAAGCAGCCTTCCGTCCAGTGGCAAATGGCAAACAAGGTGCTGTGTGTTTGCTAAGAGCCGGCCCCCTTCCACGTCCCCCATGCAAGCACAGCCGGGTGGCATCACATTTGGGGTCAGCCAGACCTGGACCGCAGTTCCAGCTCTGTTCCTCACAGGCTCCTCCAGGCAGAGACAAAGCTTAGTTCCTGGGCCTCGCTGTACCCGGTGTCTTTCCTAGGAAGTGGAGGCATGCCCAGCACCTGCTTCTTAGAGGTGTTGCAAGAATGTAGCACGAAATGAAAGCTTCCATGCAAAAACACCTGCTGAGGGCTTATGGGTACTACGTCTTGGTGACCCCCAGGCCAGGTCACCACAGCTCACAGCTGGGAGGTAGCCCCTGAAGGCGACCAGCAAAGAGCTGTGTGACTACCCTGTGGCGGGTGCAGGTGGGAAACCACCCACACAGCAAGCTCCGTGACACCCCCATACAGAGTCCACAACATTTAGAAACAAAGATCAAATTTTCAGTTTTTTGCAAATTACCTCTGTCCCTATTTCCAGATTCTATGGACATTAGCTTTTCCTATTCATGGTCCCTTTCTCCTTAGCCTGGTCATTGGACCCAGCCAGGCCCCTCCTGTGGTCAGTCTACATGACCCAGTCACTGAAGCCAGAGGCCATCTGACGCAGAGAAGAGCCTCTCCTGCCGCCTGCCACAGAAGCCCTGAGCCCTAACCTTTGGGCCCCAGCTTGAAACACATCGTCTGAAGGGCACTTTCTTTCTGGTTTCAATCCTCAGTAGTCATTTCACCTCTATTTTAAGAGTTCTCAAACATTTGTTTATGATCCCACTTCTTTCAAGCCTTCAGAAAGTTTAGGTCCCATGTGACAAGTGTGACACAGCCAGTGGCAGGCACAGCTGGGAATGGAACCTACCTGTCTGTCCCCAGAGCCGGGGATCTCAACCCCCATGAGCACCAGGGTGCTTGAGGCCCCGCATCCTGCAGGGGTATCAGGGAGCCAACTGCCGACCTTGTGAGAGGAGCAGGATGTCGGGCTGTGGGTGACGGGAGGAGGCAGAGGATGTGAGGGGGCCCATGTTGTGGGAGGAGCCCCCATGGGCCTCCCAGGTAGACAAGGACCTTGGGTGCCCATCCTCTCTCTGGTTCTGAGAGAAAGCAGATGTCAGCACTGCCCTGGCAGAAATTGCATGTTTGTGCCTTTAACCCATGCTTGATTTTATTTTTAAATAAGATGTCTTCCCTCCCTTTGTGACCTCAGTCCACATGCACTTATCTCTTCTTTAGATGCTTGTCCTGACACTTTCTCCCACACCCCACTCCAGACCTGCCTGCAGATTCTGAATCAGCTCCTAGGTAGCACCCTATGGAGACCAGGGTGCTGCGTGGGCTTAAATTGCAGGTGCAGACTCCAAATGGAGCCCGGCTCCTCACCTCTGGGCCTGTCTCTTGCAGATTATCGGGACCATTCCACTGATGCCTAATCCGGGGCCCTCGAGCCAAGCAGCGAGCGGCACTCAGGGCCTTCAAGTACAGCCAATCACGCCCCAGCTCCTGACAAACGCCCAGGGCCAGATCATCGCCACGGTCATCGGGAACCAGATCCTGCCTGTGATCAACACCCAGGGCATCACGCTGTCGCCCATCAAGCCAGGCCAGCAGGTAACGGTTCCAGGCCCAGGAAGCCACCACACCGGACACACTGCCCTCCCTCCCTGCTCCTCTTTGGTCTCAATCAATGAAAAGTGATTTTTACATTTCAAAATATTTAATCCCACTAATCCAAACCTATCAATACTTATTTTTAAAAAGCATGTAGCTTTATTTTTCATCCTTAGTAAATATGGGCAATAACTAAATAGCTCTTTAATCTAAAAACAGGAATATGTTAAATTCTAAGCGGAGATAGTAACCTAAAATTTGATAAAGTTGTGTTCTTATTCATCTACACTCATAATACTAAATTTGCAGGAGTTTTTTTTTAATGTTGAAAAGAAACCAAAACTACTTATGCCTTAACTGTAAATAAAAAAAAAAAAGATTAAATACCAAGAGATCTCAGGTTGATGCTACTGAAACTGCTGCCTATAAATGAGGGAATGAAAAATAGGAAGTTCTGCTTGGTTCAGTTGCACTAAAACCATGGCGATCCAGTTCATTTTTCCATTCACATATCAACGGAGCACTTCCTATGTGTTCATGCTAAAATCCGGAACACCAAAGAAGACAGACATGGTCCCTCTCCTCATGGAGCCTCTGGTTAATTGATTCCTTCAACAAACACTTTTTGGTAGCCGAATGTATAACAGGCCCCTGATAAATGCTAAGAAATGCAGGTGAAAAGAGAGCTGCTTTCTGATTTGGGGAGCTCATCACACTGTAGAGGATACAAATACATAAGCAGAGCTGTTGTGCAGTAAAGCAGAGACTATCCTAGGGCAGGGCAGGTGTGACCACAGAGATGAAAGTGACCAGCTGAGTTTCTGCCCAGAGAGTTTTGAGTCCTCCCAGAGATAATGGCTTGGGAACAGAGTCCAGAGGGGTGGGTAAGAGTTAACCAGGTAACTGAAGGGTTAACAACATTCCAGGCCGTGGGAAGTGTAGGCACAAAGACAAGGAAATGGGAGCGGACAGAGTGTTGAGAAATAGGGGAAAGGTCCATATGATTGGAGCAGAGGTCAGTCATAGAAGGGCTCTACAGCCAAGCTAAAAAGCATGGACTTTGTCACCGTGTGGTCTTGAACACACTACAGGTTTCCATCTGTAGCATGTGCCCCAGGTTCCTCGTCTGCAACATGGGGACACCCCAGTACCTATCTCACAGAGTGCATGTGAGGATTAAATGAGTTAATATATATGAATAGTGCCTGGCACACAGTAAACACAAATATAGTCATGATGATAGTGATTATGATGATGAAGATGATGATGATGATAATTTACTCCGCAGCCCTGAGAATCTATAAGAGGTATTTTAAAAGGGGAACAACATGATCAGTTTTGGGGTTCTTTTTTCCCCCAAGAAAACAACCTCTGGTAAAACAGTATGAAGGTTGAACTAAAGTGGTGAAGCATCTATTATAAGCAAGCCATTTAGGAAACTACAGCAAAACACAAACAAGAATTAAAGAAAGCATGTACTTGATAGTTGAAAATAAGGTCTGGAATTGTAGTTGAGCTCAGGACAGCAGCGTTAGATCTGGGAGTCATGAGTACATTTGTTGTGGCTAAAAACAAATGAGACATCCAGAGAAAGAGGAGGAGCAAGAGAAGGAAGAAAGAGCAGAAAAAGCTTGAGAAGAAGGGAAGGAAGACCAAGAAGTCATCTTGGGAAACACTCACTTTTAAGGGATGGAAGGGGGGAGGGAGAGAGAAGTGTTTGGATAACTAGGAGAGGGATTGAGAATGTAGTGATCAAACATCCAAGATTTTTTAAAAAAAGTAGGAAGTAGACAGTGTCATGTGCCGTAGGTAAAGCCATGGAGAAACATGAATTCCTCTATTTCTTTGTTGTAATGTTTGAAAGTCTGCATCTTTCCTGTTTGAAATATATTGAAATGGGGAGCCTGTTAACTGTGTGAGCTAAGAAGTAAGAGGTGGGCGAGGCTAGGACCCAGATTTAATTTTGGGGTGTGCACTCACAAAGAAAGACAGTGGAAGAGAAGACCAACAGGGAGGATATGAGCAAGCATATGGCTTTATGTGTTGTTGGAAACTGTATAAAGCGAAGTATTTAGCAAGAAAATAAAATACACAGGGAAAGGAAGAAGAAAGTACCAATATCATCATTCGTCTACCACAATGTAGAAACATCCTTCCAGAGACCTCGGCCATTGCCTCCAGGTGGCTTCTGATCCAACTGGGAAAATAGCCCATTCAGAGGCTGTGCTTGGACAATCCATTTGCTTGCTCAATGAACATAAAAAATCTGTTTAATGGAAATAGTTATTGCCCACCTACCATGTGCTGGGCACTGTGCCAGGAAGCTAGGCTTTGTTGGTGGGCAAGACAGATACCATGAGCCCTTCCTTCAAAGCACAGGAAGATTGTAAACTCTAGCGAGAGAGATGTACATTCATCAAAGACTTGTGCAAACAGGTCCCTGAGATCAGTAAGTCCAGGAGAGAGAAGTGAGGTGACCTGTGTGAGTGGTCAGCGGGGGAACTTCATCCAGTTGACAGAGGCAACGCCAGGAAAAACTGAGCCGAGTCTGCATACTCACACTTCCTAGAGACAGAGATGTCCGTCCCTTGCTCTGAATCTGCGTCTCCAGCTGGGGAGCCACGGTTCCCAGCCACCCCCTTCTTCCTCAAAGATATCCTGGGCAGTGGGGCGCTCACCAACAAACTTATCACAGTATCATTAAGGACTTTCCTCCCTCATTGCTCAGCTGTTTTTTTTTTTTCTTTTACTATTTACAAGATTCCATTCGATTCTCTTTGAACTTTCCAAATGGCTCCCCAAATGAGGCGAGATTCTCTATCTTTCACTGGCTTTTTAAACCCTAGTTCTATCTGTTCCAACTACATTCAGAATAAGCTCTAGGGGGAAAAAATGAAGAGATTGGCCTCTTTTTGTTCAATCTGCTAAAAACTATTTCTGTCAACAAAGGCAGTTGTAAAAATTGCCAAAAACATGATGAATTAGTTAGAAATCATTAACATTTAATACAAAGTAGCTCCCACTCTCCCCCTGACTTTCAAAGGCAGGTATGGGTGATAGACTATGGCTGTTACATGAAATTACAGCTCTAGATTTGAGACAGGGTAGCTTTGATCCAGGATGAGGGCCTAACCAAGACATGGCAAATAAGAGGCCGGAATGGTGCTGCTCCTCAACCCCTTGCCCATTGTAGACGTTAGCAATCCACTTCTACACTCTCTTTTGTGAGCCCAGACCCACCTCAGGAGCTTTCTCCCACAGCCCCTGTCAGCCCCTGGAATGAAACCCTGTTACTCCTGCAGGAACATCACATCCTCTGCTGGTCTAGCCACCACCCTCCTCCTCTTCACTGCAGAATTGGAGATCTAGCAACTGGGAGGAAACAGCCAGCTTCTAGAGAGTATACCTTGCAAATCCAACCAACCAACGTGTCAGCTACAACCAACATCCCAAAGAGCAAAACTCCACTTGCCAGTGGGCATTACACGTGCCTCTGGTCTATGTGCACATGCAGAGAGAACACACGAGTACAGCTGAACAGAGTGACGTGGGAACCGTCTCAAATACCCAAGTCCCTGTTCCTCCTGTTCAAGGCATGTGGCAGTTGTCTATCCTAGTCCCAGAAAAGTCCAGAAAACCAATGGTGACCCTGGTCAGAAATACCAGAGAAATGGTGGAGATAAATGAACAACTTTATTTCCTGGCATCACTTCCAGTCGAAACACCTTAGAACGTGTAGTAAAGCTAACGAGTTGGGCAGATCGACGGGAGATGCACAAGTCTGAGTCTCAGATATAAAAGCTGTGATTCTGGGGATAGTGGATCATAAAATTCCCAGAGCCAAAAAGTAAAAAGCTCAAAACTAGAGATATGAGGATAGTGGTCTTCCATTTTTTCATTAAATATTACCCTTTACATTGAAGAAATATAATATGGACAACCACTAAAAAATAAAGGATTTCTGTCACACAGTAGAGAAGTTTCTCAATTTATTTTTTCATGTGATTTATGACAAATGCTTGATCTCACAAAAGCATAGTTCTGACAGTAAAACATGTCGTAAATTACAGGAAAAGAGAGTTCCTGTAAGGAAGTCCACTTTCATGGAGGAAAGTATAGGGCTCTTGAACCAGAAGACCTAGAGCAATTTTTTTTAACTTAATAAAAGTAATTACATCTTTAATTTAACTTTTACATCTGCCTACCATTAATTAAAAGAGCCTGAATTTAAGAATAGAGTACCCAACACTCTTGATGGTAATTTATCCCAATGAGGAAAGATCGAGAAGAACGTGTAAATTATCATCTAAAATGAAAACGCTATTTTAAAAAACAATACACATAGTTTATCATCTCCTAGTATAAATAGGTAAACTCTTTTTTATTGGTGTGCTAAATGCAAACATCTATCATTCTTTTCCTATCAAAAAGGTAACTGTCAAAGTATAAAATGTGAGGCTTAAATATAACAGTACAGTATAGAACATCAAAGAAATATGAAACTCTAGGAGCAACTTATCCTATTAACTTTTAACCACTTTAATTGCTGCTTAAAAATAAATAAATAAAAATACACGAGTATCCAATAGCCCTAGATAAAGCTTCCACAGTGTCATATCAGAGATCCTTGGTATGCAATGAAATAAAAGTCAGAAAAGGACTAGATGAAAAAAAGAGATAAAATTTTTGTGCACCTGAAAAAAAAATTACTTACTACAAAAGTATTTAGTGGAGCTGCAAAGTAACCTTGTGTTCCCTCCATGAGATTCTACACCATACACCAAGCCATGTGGTGAACTCCCCAGGTCTGAGTGGTTCCAGGTCCTGTCGTTGCTTTCCCCTGATTATCCTGTGACTACAAATTAATGGTTTCTTTATAAGCCACATAGACATAATTTTCATGTATATTTATTCTTCCTTTGACTAAATTCTAACAAAAGTTAACAGGAGGTTTTAGCATCATTAAGGGGATAGAGACATTTGAAAGGAAAAATGTAATT